CAAATGAATAAAAATGAATGCACGAAATGAATGCAATGATTTTCCATGCCTGACCACAACCGTTTCCTATAATTCGTCATCAGACACTGCATCCGAAATTCTTGGATGAGTCGTGGGTCCTTCAGCACAAAGCAACGCATCAAAATCGTTGAGGGCCTCTTGTTGTGTCATCTTCACAGAAAAAAATTCTGAATTTTAACTATCGCGTTAAATCTCCCTTCGTTTAATGTTGAGCTATACTTGGCATAAACATCTAAATCGTTTACAATCTTGCATAGAATATTGCTAATTAGTGCGATATTGCGCTTAAATTTACATGAAATATCGCGTAAGTTTATGCCAAATCTAGCGTTAATTGTATGTACGCTATATGTCGCAGAAATTTACATGAATTTTTCGAACGGTGTTGAGACGGTTTACTGTGGCAAGAATATTGTTCACATTGTAAGATGTCACCGTTAAAATGCGTCGAATGTCGATTCCGTATGGGCAGAATTTTTAAAATTTCTGTGGTCAAGTTAACAGCTGTGTGATTAACGTATAACTCGATGACGGCCAGCGTTCTGATAATAATGTAATTATTTTTCACATACTGGATGTTTAAGCATATGAGATCCCGATCCATTCTGGACGCCAGATCGACTTTAACGCACACAAACATACCCGTCGGTTTCCGAAACAATAATCTTTTGAATTTGCCCGCAGATACTCCTCAGAAACGGCTTAATTGAATTCGGATTCAAGTGCTGCGCCCATTCACCGTAACCAGTTCAATTAATGAGGTGGTCAGCGTCTTAGCATCCAATCGTACCTCAATTTTCTGAATTTTCCTGCAGCTCTTTCCCTCATCGTCATCTTTATCCAACAAACCATGTTGTCGTGAAAATTCCTTGTGCATGAATCGGTAGTGGCGATAATAGCTGAACTTGCGTAAATCCGTAATTTTCCTCTTACACTGCAAACGAATAGTTATTTTAGAAGTGTTTATCCATTAGCTGGTTCAATTCTTTACCTGTAAAAAATAGCTTATCTAGCCAAGTAGTTGATGTGAAAAAGATCTTCATTCTTGAGTGATATATTTTGGCTCATCTTTTGCAGGTAACACTTATACAATCATAATCAAGATTCACGGAACTCAACAAAAAACCGATTCTACTTAATTAAACTGTCAATTAACACAGCAGCACACAACGAGAATGCGACAGGACTACTTGATAAACAGTTTTCTTTTGTTTGTTTCTTTGTTGTCACCAAATTTCTACCGACCTCCATATCAGCTATGCACGCAGGACGTAGGTACTATGCTACTCTCGCTCGATCTCGCCGAGCTGGGCTCATGAGACGCAGCACATGTGACACGAAGGAACATAACAGGGACGCGAAATAATATGCCTCGAAATGAACCAGGCACCTACGATGTGGTGGACAGCGCGTCTTCAGCACGCGGGGTGGAAGCATGTGTACATTAACTCTGCTCATTTGATTCATTTGTGTTTAGAGTGTTCATTACTGAGAATTGAGTAATTTGTGAGATGAGTGTAGAGGTTTGGACGGGAAACCAAAAGTACGTGAGTAGAAGGCTGAAGACGGAGTGGCGAACGAAAAATTCCTGCGTTGAAAAATCGGAACGCGTGTGGACAACTGTTGGGAAGCTACTGGCCCCTACAGCATGCAAGAACGAAAATACGCCAGAATAGTGTATTCGCTCACTTCAGTAGAGAACTTAGCCACAGGCTCTATTAAGATCCCCTTTGATGCATAGGTCTTTTCTTTAGTGAAGCAACTAGTGTTTTGCACGGCTCTGACAATTAGAGAAAATCAGGCACTCGCTCAATCAGCTTCGACGGTATCAGCTTCATCATCTATTCCGCTCAGTGTGAGTGTTCATCAACCTTGGCGTTTAAACAAGTTCAGGAAAATTTGTCAAAGTCGTACAACCCAAGACATCCCGTACCGAATAGGTAGGGTTATTACGAGGGGGGCAACATAGCTAAATCTCAATTCTAGATGCTCGAAAAATCTCACACTAGCGAATGAATCTTCGAGCAATCTTTTATCAATGTTCGCATCTACTTGCATCGCGCATCATCATTTTGCAGGAAATCTTCAGAATCGTCATCAATCTTCTTTCTATCTACTCAGCGTGCGGGCAGCCTACCAAAGCAAAACAAAATCTTTCATCGCAGATAAAGTCGTTGTTGATCAAAATCGAACGACTTACCGATAACCAGAACTTCCCTGATGTTCTCCAACTCAGCCTTCGATGTCTTCGGTGGTCTGATATTTCTAGCGACACATTGTTGAAATGCCGTCCAGTTCACCAGTTTTCTACTGAACTACCACATCGAACAGTGATTGGAGCCCAGATCCTCGTAGACGGGTCGTTGGCTGATGTTCGTTTGCATCTTCCACCTAGAATCACGTCCCAAATGGGACGAACAAATTGTAATTGCTCTGCATTTGCATCCATCTCATCTTCCGCTCACTCCACAGCGCCTGACATGACGACGGCAACAAGCTTGCTCTAAAGATAATTTCCATTCTAATGAACCCCAGCCGGCATTTATTTACGCTAAATCAAATTACCGCCATTTATATCAGCCACTTTTGAAGAGAGCAAACTTTCATCCATGCGCGCTTGGGTGGTGCCTCACTCAATTCAAAGTTTTAACAACAACAAAATCTCCCCTAGCTTTTTTTGCGCCCCCCATTCGCTGTTTTCCGAGCTTCTAAATCGCCTTGTGGGAACGAAATAAAAAAACTCAAATGCATAGGAAAATATTCCATGAATACAAATTTGTTCCGAGCTCGCGGTTTACACTAGGCTAAGCTAAATTTATTTCAAACCACTCGCAGTCTGTCTCCAAAGGACCCACCTTGAAGCATCAGGAATTGCTCGGCTGTCCATTTCACGGTCATAACCGCATCCATCGCTCGAGCATCGCTGAGTAAAGAGTAAATAAAATTAAAAAAATATGAAAACCTATCTCCGGGAAAACGCCCGCACGGTCCACTGGCCGAGGAAATGACATAAGCACGCCGAGCAACTAAGGCACACCGGCACCGATTGCATATGGAAGAGGAAGCTAGCGAGCCATTCGCTTATGCGCGCCCCCAAGACAAAATCTAGTTAATGCAAAACGACGCCTGAGAGGATAAAGCTGTGTGCATTAAATTTATTACCGTACTTTCGTACTATGCTGGCACGGCCCGGGTTGGACAGGTTAGACTGAGAGGGAGAGTGTGCGGAATGTTGTGAGTGCCATTTAGCATCCGGGAATGGGATAAATTATCTGAGCATGGGTTCGTGGCCCGGACAGGATTGAATTCCGTGGATTTACGGAAATTTGTTTTCTTTGTTGTAGAGCAGGTGAAAGTTACTATCAAATAACTGAAATAGTTCTGCTTCATGAAAAAAAACTATTTCAAAACCTGTTCAAATATATATGAGGCTCAATGTTACCTGTGAAGTGTCAAAATTATTCAAATCAAAATCGGTTCCTCCAGTAGCAAAACATATCGAGAATAAGTTTTATATTCACGCTGCACCTCATATTGTTCCGAGTTGACTACATCAACGTGGATTCAACGGCAAATTGGAACAAGTTTGAACGTGGATGGTCATTTCCCATATAAAATTGTGCGCTGAATCCAAAAATGTAGTTAGAAAAAATCTCTACGATGCTTCTGAACCGAAATAAGTTTGGTGGAATTAGACCGTCTAAGATACTTGGATAAAATGGACGCACCGGCTACCTCTGACATTTGCATCATCAGTGGCAACTCTCATCCGGACTTGGCGAAACTGATTTCCAGCCGTTTGGGTGTCAAGAATGGTGGTTGCTCGGTTTATCACAAAACCAATCGTGAAACTATGGTTGAAATTGGAGACTCTGTACGTGGAAAAGATATCTACATTATTCAAACTGGTACTAAAGATGTCAACAACAGCATCATGGAACTGTTGATCATGGCAAACGCATGCAAAACTTCATCAGCTAACTCCATCGTGGGTGTGATTCCATACCTACCATATTCCGAGCAATGCAAAATACGCAAACGAGGTTGCGAAGAGCGCATGAGCTTCGGCTCACGCGACGTCGCATGATACTCGTTCTCATGAAACGCATACATCTGGAAATGTGCTGTGCTTACAAAACAGTGCGACACACAGACATTATGAGAATGTGAGATGCGACAAAACTGAAGAGAGAGAAAGAGAGTGCTACAAATCTCTTGCGCATGAGACTGCTATGATTATGAGACTATTCGTATTGCATCTCGCATACGGTAGCGCGCGCACTGGAAGCCTCGTACAATGGATGTATCCGGAGCGAGACGGCTAATACATAGGTGTAACAGTCGGAAGAAGTGTTAGTTTGTTTACTTAAATGAACCATGCCCATTTTTTTATGGCATGTTTGCTATACGAAATGCGCCTCGTGTTTATTAGCGAATTTCACATCAAAGATTGATTAATTGAGTAGGAAATCAGTTTGGCACGGCATTTGTGACCAGCATACACCTTCCGGTAGTATGAAACAGGTCAAAAACTGTTCAAATCCGCAGATAAAATTTTTGTTTTGAATTTCTGTATAGCAAAATAGTGAACTTTTCGTGAACATTAACGGCAAAGAACTCACCAACACTGGGAGACTGTGAGTTCCTGCCCACCTGTTCATTTTCCATCGTGTATCCGGAGGAGTGCCAGTTCACGATGGAAAATGAATAGGTGGGCAGGAACTCACAGTCTCCCAGTGTTGGTGAGTTCTTTGCCGTTAATGTTCACGAAAAGTTCACTATTTTGCTATACAGAAATTCAAAACAAAAATTTTATCTGCGGATTTGAACAGTTTTTGACCTGTTTCATACTACCGGAAGGTGTATGCTGGTCACAAATGCCGTGCCAAACTGATTTCCTACTCAATTAATCAATCTTTGATGTGAAATTCGCTAATAAACACGAGGCGCATTTCGTATAGCAAACATGCCATAAAAAAATGGGCATGGTTCATTTAAGTAAACAAACTAACACTTCTTCCGACTGTTACACCTATGTATTAGCCGTCTCGGTGCCAGTTCACCCAGCCAAGGAAAAGCCTCCGATCAACGTGGTGGGAGATGTTGGCGGACGGATTGCCATCATGGTGGATGATCTCATTGACGACGTTCAGTCGTTCGTGGCTGCCGTGATGGAATATCTGGCCGCTGAAGTTCTGGAGTTGGCAGGAAACGCCACCCGTGACAACAAGAAAACCAGAATTATCCCACGTCACCTGCAGTTGGCCATTCGCAACGACGAGAAGTTGAACAAACTGCTGTCCGGAGTGACCATTGCTCAGGGTGGTGTCCTGCCAAACTTCCAGGCCGTCCTGTTGCCCAAAAAGACCAAAAAGAAGGCTTAAATTTGATCAAAAACCAGCCCCAACATACAATTGATCGATCGTCAACTAATCGTCATCATAATCATCGCATCATCTCCGTCAATAGCCGCATCGTAGCAGGAGCAAACGGAATATCTAGCTGCACCGGCTGATAGGTTGTTTACACAACCGGCAGAAGTATTAGACAATACATTTTGTAAGTATTAGAATTGTCCATTAATTGCGTCACGCAAAGTTGGCCCATTTACAACCCCTCCTCCCCCCCCCCCCCCCTCCCCCTTTGTCATTTTTTGAATGGACCCTAATTTTTTTTGTATGGCTCGTCACAGGTTTCCAAAACCCTCCTCCCACTAAAAGTGTGACATAATTAATGGACGATCCCCTATTGTAGTTTAATTTTGCCTCGTGGCGCATGGCTCTGTCTCTTATCCCTGGTAAGGGAGTATGGTTCATAGTGAGACAACTTGTTGCAACTAGATAGAATTTTTTTTCGATTCTTTTTCTCTTTGATTTGCTTGTACGCCGTGCAAAAAATTTAATACTAGTAATTAAAATTAATCAATTGGATAAGGTTTTTATTAAAATTAATCAATTGCAGAAGGTTTTTATTTTTTTTCCTTCTAAAGCGGGGGCGCACCGCTTTTGCGCAACACTTATGGCATCTTCCAAAGCCTACGTTGCGCGAACCAGGTATTACCAACCACTTTCGAAAGGACCATGGGTGGTCTTTTTTCGGCCTAAAAATAAACCTTTGAAAACTCTCGACATTTCGAGAGACTTGCTGCGTAAGTATCCGAGAATCTTGGTACATAAGGAGAGATTCAACAAACTGCGTGTAGAAGCACCGAATTTTATTTGATGTGATGATGATGGTCCCACCTCTTACCCCTACAATGCACAGTGGTTCTCCTTAGAACAAAAGTTGGCCAAAACCTCAAAATTGTTGCTAATAGGCAAAAAACAGTTGAAATAGTTGTTTTTTAGCTGTACGAAGAAAACTTGACAATCAAGACGTCACAAAAAGGAGTATAGTGGTACCAAAACCAATGCACAATGGTCCCAGCTGAATTTACCTAGGAAGACAAAAATGTTTGCGCCCAAACCGTCAGTTTTAGGTATATGGTTTCTTAAGGAAAGTTGCTTCATATTTTTTTTTTCAATCTTTTTATGTTCTTAAAATTAGGGTGGTCCATAAAATTGCTGAATTAAAAATACAAACTATTTATTATTTGAGATAGACCAAAGCAGTGTTGTAGAACATTAAATTCAAAGCAACTTTGTAGAAGACACAACGTTTTTATCTCTTATGGTTCATGAGTTATGATTTTTTAAACAAGCAGGTCACTAAAATCGATTTTCTTTGAATATCTTTTCATGCGTTAATTTCTTATAAAAACATTGTTTTGATTACATTTAGAACTTTTGATGACGCATTTTTTTGCTCAAGCAACTAGGTTACTATCTTTTTTGATTAGAAAGTTAAAGGCTCTTTTCTTCTAAAAAATGACTCTTTTCAATTGTCAATATCTCAAAATGGACCAAACCGATTTTCAAACATTTAACTTCATTAGAAACATCGTTTTATTTTCATTTTTGGTGAAAAAAAACTGCAAGAGCTTTTTGTGTTAAAAGCATTTAATTTAATTTAAAAAAGTAATATTTTTCAACATTACTAGTCATAACTTTTCAAATAAAAGAGATAACAACTTAGCAAAAATATGCGTCATAAAAAGTTCTTAAAGCATATGGTATAAAAATTTCACGAGAAATGAACGTATATAAGATATTTAAGGAATGCCGATTGTCTAAAGGGCCACCCTAACCTGCTTGTTTAAAAAAATCATAACTCATGAACCATAAGAGATAGATATCAAGTATAACATGTGAAAAGGGCATACAAGCTTTTTGTAAACAAACGTTCTTATGCCCTTTTCTTGGCACCCACATAAAACACACGCAAATCATCAACATCACCGGATAGAGGGAACTTTTCTCTTCCCGATGATGATATTGGTTTGCGTGGGCGACGCTCGGTTTTTCGAGAAAAGGGCCTACAAAGGTTTGTTTACAAAAAGCTTATATGCCCTTTTCACATGTGGCTCTTGATATATGGTGCGTGTGTGTATGTGTGTGCGTATTGGTGTGATTTGAAAAAGGCACTGTGAAGCTTGCTACGGTATACACCGCAGATTATATAACTTAGAAATAGATATTTTCAAAGAACACTTTATTTGTTATTCCTAATTTCAACATGTTTCGCAAAAAATCGCAAAACACATTAAAGCCTATCTGAAAGCTAACTTTTCTAACTATCTTTTGGTTACTAAATGATAGTGGGCGGATGTGTCCGTCATATGTTTTGCTTAGTCTAAATGCGAAAAAAGTATATTTTTGCTAATTTATATAATAAAAACTGTCACTAAAAACACTAAGACACTCTTTTTTACCATCCATTTGACGTAGAATAAGCCAAGGAACATTTCTTCTGAAGCAACCAAGTTTATAAACACATTATTTTTTGCTACATTTAAGCAAAACAGTAACAAGAAACATTAAGATTTTGTTTCAAAATTTTTTGACATCGCTACACTAAAACAGCCATAAAAAAAAATATTTAATCAACAAAACTGCACAAATCATTCAATTTAGGATACTCTTAACATGTAAAAATGATAAAAAAATATTGAAATCTAAAAAATTTCAGCTTTAATTTTTGAGGTTTTGGCCAGCCAGGAACCACTGTGCAATGGTTTGAGCTGGACGATTTATCTTTAAGATTATTTAATATGACATTTTAACCAGGTTGGCAAACAAAATCGAACTGGTTTCAGTTACAGATATAAATTCCCTCTAGAGTTTACAGTTGCTTCACAGCGATATAAATGTGGAAAAGCTCAGGCGTCCACCTCTTAGTTCGCCTTTTTGTCCACCTTAAATATTCATAAGCATTACAAGCAATCAAGAGTTAATGAACAATCAACAAAGCATCCTATTACACTAGTAACCCCGTAATCTGATGCTATCATAATTTTCAGCAATGTCAGGAATGCTCACGAACCCCCAACATTTGCCAGAAAACTTACTACTAACTCAAGGTATCTTTCAAATAAGCTTCAAAATTGCATTTTTTTTTTATCAAATGTTAAATTCATTCCTCTATATCCGTAATACGCGCGCGAGGCTCAAACCTTTGTAGACTACTTTTTTTTTTTTAATTAATCTACTATAAAATCAAATATTAAAAATCCATCATCACCCTCGTGGCGAACAGAAACAGTTCTTACAGTGCTACAATAATTATTAAAAAGTCGTTATGACAGCTATCCATATAAAATAATCCGTTAGAGATAACTTCGTCAAGATACATAATTTGTCAATTCATAAAAAAAAATCACTGGATAACTGTTCAAAAGACTGTTTGAACGTGTGAAATGCAGTGTCTTTTAAATTCTGTAAGTGTTGCTAAACGTTTGATATGTCTAGGCATCGAATTGAAAACATTTATTCCTTTATAATATAATGAATTTTGTGAAGCACAAGTCAAGAAATGTGGTGTTCTTATTTCAACCGCGTTTCTAGTATTATATCTATGAAAGTCACTTCCTCTTTCAATTCGATCACACAAATATCGAGGCAGCAAACCGTTAACTACTTTAAAATGAATACCATAGTCAAATATACAATTCTTTGCTTCACCGACAACCATTGTAAGGCGTCTAACATCAAATTTGAGGAAGTGAATCTATTACATCTCAAAATCAAACGCATTATTTTATTCTGCAAGCGCTGTAATCTCGATATTTGTGTTGCATTGGCCAGAAATAAAATAGAAGGGCAAAAGTCAAGATGGGGAGAGATGATTGATTTGTATAGCTGTATTTTACTGGCAATAGTTAAATCGTTTTTCAGTCGACATAGAATTCCATACTTCTTGGCAATTTTCTTGATGACATTGTCAATGTGAGAGTTGAACTTAAGTATGTCATCAATAATCACGCCAAGATATTTAATCTCCCAAACGCGATCAATAGTCTCATCATTAATTACAACAGAAACGTTCTCATTTACTCGATTCCGCGAAATAACCATAAATTTAGTTTTACTTGTATTGAACTGCTTATACTTCAACTATCTACTTAGAGAACGCAAATCTTCATTCAAGTGTAAAACGGCATCATCTAAATCCTTAGCTGCAATGAATAACACAGTATAATCTGCAAAAAGATTAATGTCGCAAAATCGTAAAACACATCGCAAGTCATTAATATACATAATAAATAACAGGGGCCCTAATACATTTCCCTAGGGCACTCAAAGGTTATTCCCCACGAGACTGGAAACAGAATCATTAAAAACAGTCCGTTGAGTTGTGTCAGACAAATAGCTTTCAAACCATTTATATGCAGTACTCGTAATTCCAAAGCGCTTGATTGATCTTAACAATAAGGGCCTAGAAATTGTTTCAAAAGCGCGTTTAAGATCCAAAAAAAACAGCAACAATCGTATCTTTACACTCCAAGTTATTTTTCCACTTCGCTAATACCAAATTCAACGCGGTTTCACAAGATTGACCTTCCTGATATCCCGATTGTTCTGGTATCAACAAAGAGTTGCTATTCCAATACTCCATCAGCTGGCCTTCAATAACAAGTTTTGAGATTTTCTCTAATGTGTGCAACATGTTGATGGGACGAAACTCTTCGGCTTTAATCGTTCCAGCAACTTTTTGAATAGGGACCACTAAGGATTCCTTCCAAATTTGTGGCACATGTCCAGTTTGTAATGATTCATTAATAAGGTCCAGCAAGATGTGGCCAATGACATGAAAGCAATCTTGAATAACTCTAGCATTAACAAAATCTACTCCAGCCGATTTTCCTAATGAAAAACAAATAACTCTAAGTTCATCTAATTTAATTGGTTTGGTTAATTGGATTTGAAGGTTTTCATCAAATCTACAACTACTATTAACTGGCTGTTTTATTTCAGCAGGTTCATCGACCAATTCAATGGATTGATTA